CTATGGACACTGCCGACGGCTTCGGTTTGCGCCCGGTGCGTGACGCCGAGAGACTTCCTAGCATGCTTCCAGGCCTACAAAACGGGCTAATTTCTCAGCCTGACTCACCTACCACCCCCAGTGGTCCTTCGCAGCTGCGAAGCCATATTCACCCGCACGGGCTACGGTCGCGTCCCACTTTGTTACAACAACAATCAGTCTCGGGCGATTCCGACATTGCCAATGGCGAAGAATCCACCGTCGGCTCCACCGTCGGCTCTGGACATAGTTCCGCGATGGGCGACGAAGTGGGAAGCGAGATCACCGACCCGATGATCGGCATGGACAACCGGATGGAGATAGATGATGTTGGTGATAGACAGTCCGTGCTTGGGGAAGTTTCGAATGCCCATGATCTGACGGTCAACGACTCGTCGGAAGGACAAGAAGCTGACACATTCAACATCGCCCATCGGTCGGCTGTTGATCGAAGCATGATTGAGAACAATGAGGCGCAGACAAATGGGTTATCACCTACTCAGGCTCCTGAAAATGCCAACTCCCCTGTTCCTGTGCCGACCCCCTATTCGTCATACATCCGCGAACGTCTCGCTAACCAGACTACGGCGACGACTATGCCCCGCGACGACGATGTCTTGATGGCTCTTCAGCTCCTCGCATATGTCTCCAAGTATTGCAGTCTCCGTTCTTACTTTCAGAACACCCACTTTGTCCCAAAGCTTCGGGTCGATCGTGAGCTGAAGCTTCTCGATGGCGGTATGTCCCCCATCGAACCCCTCGATGATGAGGACGAGGAGTACTTGCAGCCGGACGATGTCAATATCTTCCCTCTGGTGGAGCACTTTACCATTCGTCATCACTCGAAGGATATGCAATATTGGGCCTGCGTGGTCATGAGGAACCTCTGCCGCAAGGATGAGGCCCAGGGTGGCATCCGGCAATGCGCCTACTGGAAGTGCGGCAAGTGGGAAGAATATCAGCGGCAGTTTGCCAAATGTCGCCGCTGCCGTCGCACCAAGTACTGCAGCAAAGACTGTCAGAAGGCGGCTTGGATCAGTCATCGTCATTGGTGTCACACCAACCCTTGATCTGAACGGATGAAACTTGCCTAATACACATAATGCATATCGGCTTGCATAGCGTCGTATCTGTCATCTGGTCCCGTTTGTCTTTTCTTCGGTTCGTTTCCCAAGGTTTCACGTCTCCCCCCCCGTGCATGGCATTCCCGAATCCGGTGGCGTTCCTCTTCCAGTCTAAAGATACCTCTGTTTCTTCCTTTCAACATGTTTCATTAAAGCCAGGCCCAGTATCTGGACCTCAGTCATATGGAATCTCTTCAGCGGTTATGAAAGTCTTGTTAATTGTGTGAGTGGGTTTTCTTCTGTTTTTGTTTTCTTTGAATCATATCTGAGCAGCTAGCCCGCTACTGTCTCGATGCCAGACGATTTTCATTTGTGAGTAGCCTTTATCTTATTTTATCTAGCATTGTGATCCATGTCCACTGTTGTTTGCTCTGGAGCGTTTGTCTCGCCGTTGACGCTCCGTGGTTTTGTTGTTCCTCTCATCGATGGTCCTGGTTTAGGACTTTGGGAGTGGTGACCATCGATGCAGCCTTGGAATTTTGTTGTGGTGGTTTTGTGGGTCCCACCCCGAGCAGTGATAGTTCTATCTCTCATGGCATTTCCTTGAGTATGGTTTCCTTTGGAAAAGGAAACTGGAGGAATTTCTGTGCATACGATCCACTCTTTGTGTCTGGCGATTGGCCGTAAAACTCCTAGCTATTCGATTTGGCTAAGGATTTCCTTGTGACTGTTTGATTTCTTGTTGGTCTGGCCTGGTTCTGCTGTGACTTCGCACACAAGAGATGAACCATTTAAGATAGTAATCCAGCATCTTTTGCCTATGAATGAGTGGTCTACAAACACTTTGATAAACCTGAGCTACATCCTTGATGTCTGTATCACGTTCTCAACCCACCCTTCTCCAATCCCCTCTCCCATTCAATCTCGCCATCCCACCAACCCATCCAGACGAACCTACTCCTCCCCCCCCTCAAACTGATACGTCGCCCCCAACCGCGCCATCAAATGCTCATGCGCCGTCACCGCCCTCTTCCCGGGCTCCAACGCGCCCGCACCACCCCCAAACCCGATCATCTCGTCGGCGGTGCCCTCCTTCTTGCCCTCACGATACCGCCTCACCGTCTCACTCGGCACGGGCACCAACTCCGTCCGATCCAACGGATGACAGAAGAACACGACACTATACCGATCCCGCGGTTGGGGGGCCTGTTGCTCCGCAACCGGGAAGACCACCCTGTGGACGGTGGATTTGAGCAGTCCGTCGGTCCAGTAGCTGAGGAGGTCGCCGATGTTGATGAGGATGGGGGGGAAGATGAATTCTTCGTCTTCTTCGCTGGTGGTGCTGTTTTCGGGAATGCTGGAGGTGGTGCCACTGCTGCTGGCACTGTTGGGGAGGACCGGCACCGGCGCCCAGGTTTTCTCCGGGGTCAGGATCTCCAGCCCCGGTTGGCCCGGGCGTTGGAAGAGGAGGGTGATGCTCCCGTAGTCGGAGTGGGCGCCGGCGCGCACGTCGAGTTGGTGGTTGTAGCTGCTTGTGGCCGGGGAGGTCAGGGAGGGGTAGTATAGGTAGCGCAGGATGCTGCCGGTTGGGCCGCGCGTGGGGTCGTGGCGGGTGGTGAAGAAGTCTTTTGGGATCTGCGGGGAGGGGGGGTTAGTTTTGGTTCTGGGGTTGTATAAGCCGGGAAGGGGGGGGACTATCCCCCACACCTAATACAATCCGTTTTCAAGGGTGCAAGTGCAAGTGCTATAAGAAAAGGGAAGGGAAGGGAAGACGTACACCAAGCCCCAAGGCCAGAAGGGTCAACACCCTGGCGCAGGTCTTCTGGCACAGCTCGGCGAAATGCGCGATCTCGGCCTCGTGCGGAGCTAAGGCTGGCGGGAGCGGTTGCTGGGCTTGGTTGTTGATGAACTCGCCGAAGTTGAAGGCTCTGTTGGCCTCGTTTGTTGGCGGTGCTTGAGGAGGGAAAGAGGGGGGCAGGGGCTGGCTTACTCTTTGAAGTCACCGGTCTGGGGAGGTAAGTTGGCTGGTTAGTTGCCTTGAGGGTCTTCATACAGGTAGAGGGTTGGTATAGATCTTACTCGCTGGTGTTCGGGGTCCAGGGTCTCCACGTGCATTCCGGACCAGCCCCGGTTCTGGAGGGTATCATTAGAGGTGATGGTCGTTTGGGGCTGGGGTGAGTGAGGGGACGCAGACGCACATTGGGTTCGATGCGACAGGTCGCTTTTTCTTCGGCGGGGGATTTGAAGAAGGTTTGCGACTGGGTGGTTTGGTTTCTGGTTAGTTGTGGACGGAACAGCAAAGCAATGCGGTTGTAGATGTATTGACTGAGATCATGACTTACCAGTTCGAATGCCCGCTTCACGTCCGCCGGGGTAAAGTCGGTGCCCTTGCTGTCGACGTACAGAAACCCGTAGGTGGTGGCTGCATCCAGCATCGCCTTCCCCGCGTTAGGGTCCAGCGGGTTGGAGATGTCGAGGACGGGCAGCTCGATGGGCGCCCCGACCGAGGTGGTGTCGGTCATTGTGAACAGAATAGGTGGTTGAGGGAGCGAATGGAAGATTCGAGTCAGCTGAAAGTGCAGTGGGCTGGCGCTGAGGGGCAGTATAAAGATTTATTATTTAAAGTCCAGTAGGCAGTAAACTGATCGGGAGCTCTCGCTATCTATCAAATGCCGCGGCGGTCGGCTCCATATGGGGAAATGGGCTCGGTTCCAGCAATCGGCCTACCAAGTGGGTTTCCATATCGGCTGTCGCTGGGGGTTCCGGCGTTTTCATTTCTAATTGGTATTATTCTATGGGTGGATGGCGTGAGGCTTCCTGTCGGGGTCAATTGTTTGGATATGCAGTCTGATAAGAGTACTTGGTATAAAGGTATAAAGTGTCAGTTCATGCATTGACTGTGCTAATAGTACTGCTTTGCTGACCAGCAACAATTTGTGACATCCCCACCTCTGAAACTGCCACATTGTATGAATAGGAAGCAGTCACTCATAATCACTCAATCCTTATCTTCCTTTACCATCCCACCCATTGCAACTGGTCGAGTGTCCACCAAGCCCCATCTGAGATCTGATCGAATCAAATCCACCGCCGCGCCGCTCTCTCGGCTACTGGGAACTATGGTGTTTCCACCCTTCATTTGGAGAAATGAAGTCAGCGAGATATCCAGACAAGGTCTGGTTCGTTGCTATCCTCCAGTGCTTGGCACCTTGGATTGATTGGATAGGTTTTGTCGTGGGTTTGGAATGGTCCCGACAGTGTTTATGGCTTGATGTTTATGTAGGGCATATGCATTCACAAGTTCTGTCCCTTTTCAGACATACATCGAGCAATGGAGAGCTCGATAGGATCGATAGCCCTAACAGATGGTTCTTCGTCATCTTGCTCCCCACCAAGCTATGCTAGATGATATGGACAAAGGCTAAGGAAACGTAGGATCGTGTATTGTGCTTTGCAACTAGAAGATTTATGCTCGAGGTAGATAGTCTAGACCCGGTGGAAAACCCCATTTGGAGCTTCCAAACACAGAATATACAATCATTGCATGATTCGCTTTACATTCTGGTAGTCCTGAAATCACGGGAGATATATACATATACACCAAAGAATTACATAGTCAATGAGAGCTAGCATCGGTCTCGACTCTGATTGCAATCATCTATCCCATTTCATAACCCCCGTAGTATTTATCAATGTCAGTTTCTTTCCATCAACACCAACTGCTTGGTGGTGATACACCAGTTGGCGGCAATCAACACCGCCCTCGTGATTGTCCCGCCCGAAACACCCTCCGCCTTTGACATCCGATTGTCGCATCATCTCTCCAACAACTGTCTTCTGACCCTCATATCCTCCTTCTCTCTCCCCTTTCCCCCTCCTTTCACTTGGGTCCTACTCCCCACTCGCAGGTCTATTCACGACCCTACATTATTCTCCCACTCCCTGCTCCTCTGGAGTTCTCCATGCCTGATATCGGTTCCCGCGTCTAAAGTCCGTGACAGAGCTTCCGCTTCCACCATGCCGAGTGAGTCCCTACCTGTAGCTCACGCTGAGCTGCCTGCTCCCCTTTCCACCGAGCTAATATGTATTCATGGTTCATAACAGTCCGTCCGCTGGATGAATGGGCCTCCACCCGCACCCAGTCACTCCCTCTTGCTGCTCTGAAAGGGGCGGTCGTCGGTATCGATGCGTCGCACTACATCTCCCAGCACCTCGTTCACCCCTCCTCCCGCGAGCCCCTTTTGGTCGCACTGGGCGGATTCCCGTTCGCGTTGAAGAACAACATCGAGAAGGAACTCCAGGTCTTCAAGGATTTGGGCATCGCCTGCGTCTTCGTGTTCAATGGCCTCGACTTCGGCAAAAAGGACCAACGGCCCCAGGTCCAGCAGGAAGCCGTCCGGGCATTCGAGCAAGCTTGGGACCTCTACGATCAGCAGCAGGCCGACCAAGTAGTGGACGCCTTCAGCAGCGCCGGTATGCAGTCATGCATTGGCTGGTTTTTGGATATCACATGCGCTGACTCCCGTCTGTTTGGCCAAGGCACCCCCCGCCCGGATTCCCTCTACCGCTTCTTGCAGCGCATTCTACACCAGAACGGCGTCGATTACATCGTGGCCCCCTATAGTGCTGCAGCTCAGGTAAGAAGTAACACGTTACGAGATTGAAGTGTATCATCTCACACTCCGCTCCGTTTCCCATAGCTCGCCTACCTGACCAGAGGCCCGAACCCCCTCATCGATGCGGTCTGCGGATCCTCCGAAACCTTCCTGTTCGACGTCGATAAACTGATCACGCGGATTGATATCGACCCCGCACAATTCTTCTGGATCAACAAACAGACTTGCCAAGAGCAGCTGGGTGGAATGTCGAATGAACAGTTCCTCGACTTCTGCCTTGTGCTGGGATCCACCTTCCTTCCCATCTTCCCCATCTTCGAGAATCCCCTCAACCCCGGTAAGGGCGCGATCGTCCGTGATGCCATCCCAATGTTCAATATCGCCGGGCGTAGCGCCCTCACCCTCTGCGCCCAATTCGAGGAGGACCGCCGCATGCAGGAGCTCCAGTATACGGATCGCTACAAGCGCGCTCTCATGACAGTGAAGCACCACGTTTACATCGATGTCGACGGACGAGTGGGGCCGTTGGACCCGGAGAATGTTTCATCAGATATGCACGAGCTGATCGGCCAGCGTCTGCCAGAAGAGCTTTACTTCTACCTGTCCAAGGGTGTTCTGGGCCCTGACGTGCCCAATTATTTGACGTCAGGTGAAGTATCCGTATCTCTGCCGCTGGGGGTTGAGGATACTGAAATCTATCGCCAAGTTGCTGGTAGCACGCTCACACCGGTCCGAACTCAAGCGATGTTGTTGCTGTCGCATTCTCTTCATCGATTCTACCAGACCAAGGATATCACTGTCCGTACCTGGTACGAAGAGAACCCACAGTCTAAGATTAACCTCAAGACACTACCTTCCGTCAAGGAGACCATCCAGGCCTGGAAGATCCGCACCGCACAGCTCCCGGAGGACCTGAAGAAGTTGCAAGTAGGTGCTTTCACTGCAAGATGACATTCGGATGCTTACTCATTGATATAAAGACATCGACTGGTCGTTTCAAATTCGCGGTCCAGAGCTTGAAGGACTCCGATTTCAGTTCAAAGACGCAGTCTGCACGAGACGCACAAGTACGCTCCTTCCCGAATTGTTCAGAGGCGTATGATCTAATCATTCACAGCTATTGACAACGCAAGACGAGATCCTTGCGAACGTACATTGGCGCTTCTTGCAACTCCGCGGTTATATTGACGAGAAACATCAACTTACGCCATGGGGAGTATGTCTCGAGCAGGCGTTGTCTGTGCTCGACCCTGTCGACTCGCTCGAGGAGGCTACGTTCCTTGCCATTGAAATGATCCGTTTCGGCCTTTTGAACTCTAAGCAGTGGTTCTCCCATGTCTCTGGTGGACCCATGAGGGGATCCGGTAAGACAACTTTTGCCTTAGGGCTGGAACCATGGCTGACCCAATCCTGTAGATGAGGACAAGAGCTTCAACATGCTCGTATCGCGCGTGGCATGTATCGCCAAGTTACAACACAAGAGCATTGGGTATTCGGGTCCCTTGAGTAGGCAGCTGCTCTGTTATCGCTCGTTGATCTCGGAGGTTCGCTCTACTCTACGGAACCTCATCGAGGTGGTCCTGGCTGGTCTCCTGCTCAGTGGTGACGCTGAGCGGGACCGTAAAGACTGGGGCGAGTTGAGCGCCAGGTGAGTGAATCCGGAGTTCTCATGTGGGATGTATCTGACATATGCAGGCTTCCATTCATTGACGACAATGACTGCGGTCTTGGAATCGCTGTGCGCACCTACCTGGACGACCTGCCCCTGCAAGCCGATCCCACATCGCCCGAAGCTCGGGCAGAGGTCAAGGCCAAGGGCAAGGAATGGTTCCAACATAGCGACAGTTTTACCGGCAACCTCGACATGGCATTCAAGCTCTGGGATGCGGTAGGTGACTCCAGCGGAGATGCGTTGACTACATATTGATTGTTGTATAGGTCTACCGCGCATCGCAAAACGCAGGACGGGAGTTTAAGGACGGCAACAAATGGGAAGAGGCAAACCGCTGGCTCGCCGAGCGACGGTGACGAATCAATGGAGATGCGACTTCTGCTCTATGGACACACGGGTCAATGAAAGCAGCTAGTCCATGACCAGCAACGAACGACATCACGATCACCCATTTAAGGTACCGACCAGAGTCTGCTTGACAGTCCGGCAACCCGCGTGGTATTCCAAGCTCATGTAGGTGCTGCAAATATAGCCATCTAGCGCCAACTATCAGAGAAGATATGGTGTGATGGGCCGGTTGTTGGTGGATGGGATCGGATGGGCCGGGATTGTATTGTGGCCGGTGGCGAAACTATGCTGAGCATTGCACTTCCGTAAAGCCGACCTCCCCTAGCTCTGAGTAAATAGGTGAATGATTAACAATCAACCTGATCATGCATGTTGAGTAATCTACCCGTACTTCGTACTTATAAGCAAATACGGCAAGTTGGGAGGAGCTGATTGCTTAGTGATGATAATAATACATTGTTAACAACTTACCAAGTGTCCTCTTCCGGTTCCGACCCGCTTCGGCCTCCGCAGTCTTTCCGCCGCGGAAGCTTCCCCCAACCGCGCTACATTTGGGCTATTACTTTATTACTTCATCAACAAACTCTCCCCCGGTTCCATCATCGGCAGTTTGAACCTGCCCACTTTTCCCCTCTTGCTGAACATTCATCCATCCCCAACCACTACACAACAAGAAGAAAAGAAAGATGGTCCGCCTCAGCCATCTGGCCAGCTACCTGACCCTGGCAGCGGCGACCGCCAGCGCGGCCGTCGTCGACCTGGTCCCCAAGAACTTCGACGAGATCGTCCTGCAGTCCGGCAAGCCGGCGCTGGTCGAGTTCTTCGCCCCCTGGTGCGGCCACTGCAAGAACCTGGCCCCGACCTACGAGGAGCTCTCTCAGGCCTTCGCCCACGCCACCGACAAGGTGACCGTCGCCAAGGTCGACGCGGACGAGCACCGCGACCTGGGCCGGAAGTTCGGGGTCCAGGGCTTCCCCACGCTGAAGTGGTTCGACGGGAAGAGCGACACTCCGGAAGACTACAAGGGCGGCCGGGATCTCGAGAGTCTGTCGGCGTTCATCACGGAGAAGACGGGCGTCAAGCCCCGCGGCGGTGCGGCCAAGGAGCCCAGTGCCGTCGAGATGTTGACGGATGAGACGTTCGGGAAGGTCGTGGGTGGGGAGAAGGATGTTCTGGTCGCGTTTACGGCGCCTTGGTGTGGGCGTGAGTCTTCCCTTGCCTTGCTTTGGGTGTGACGATGCTAATCGTTTTGTGATGCGGGTGGTAGACTGCAAGAACCTGGCTCCGACCTGGGAGACGCTGGCGAACGATTTCGCGCGCGAGGCCAACGTGGTGATCGCCAAGGTCGACGCCGAGGGCGAGAACAGCAAGGCCACCGCCAAGGCCAACGGCGTGACGGGCTACCCGACCATCAAGTTCTTCCCGCGCGGGTCCACGGAGGCGACCGTGTACAACGGGGCGCGCTCGGAGCAGGCCTTCGTCGACTTCCTGAACGAGCACGCCGGCACCCACCGCGCCGTCGGCGGCGGGCTCAACGCCCAGGCCGGCACCATCGCCGCGCTGAACGAGCTGATCGTGGCCGGTGGCCCCACCTCCGCCACCCTGAAGGAGGAGATCAAGAAGGCCGCCGAGGGGCTGACCGACCAGTACGCCCCGTACTACGTCAAGGTCGCCGACAAGCTGAGCCAGAACGCCGAGTACGTCACCAAGGAGCTGGCCCGCTTGGAGAAGATCCTCGCCAAGGGCGGCTCCGCCCCGGAGAAGCTGGATGATCTCGTCTCGCGCAGCAACATCCTGCGCCAGTTTGTTCTGGAGGAGGCCCATGAGGAGAAGGATGAGTTGTAGATATCTTGTGTTTTCGTTTGAGGGGGCGGGGGCAAGCGGATTGGAAGATGCAGGGTGCTACGGCTGTGACTTTGGTCCTGTGTTGTGTCTCTAGTGAACTTATCAATCGGCCCTTGTATGATACCAGGGAAAACCAAGCGATTCTATTACGATGATGATAAGGATTCTCATCTATGCTAGCCTCCTCCCAGGAAAAAAAGAAAGTATGCTCAACACAAGCCACGATTGCAACGCAAGTTAAAACAGGGGGTATCTAAACCAAGTCGACAGTAAAAACCACACCACCCGACTGTATACAGTATACTTCCAACATCTCTCTCCAGTCCTGATGACCAACCACCCCCAATTCCCAAAACAAACCCCAATCGAGAAAAGAAACGCCATCAGAGCAATACCAATACCAATGCAATGCCCCAAACGTCCAAAACCCAAGCACCCACCCTCCTCCACTTCCATATCACCCCCATCCCATATCTCCCCCCAGCCCAACCCCCCCAGCCACAACCCAAGAAAGCATCCTCACTTCCCCGGACTAGCACTCCCAGCCGCATCCCCCGCTGCCCCAGCGACAGCACCCTCAGCAGTAGCCCCCGCACCAGCAGGAGCAGAAGAAGAATCCAACAACGCCAACGAAGCCTCCAACTCATCCAACCGCCGCGCCATATCGTCCACTACACCCCCGAATAGAGTTAGCATTGCATCGTATCGCATAACCACAAACCCCCTCTGCCTTCCCGTTTCAGTGCAGCAGATAGAGCCCCTGGCGGTCGCAGGAGCCGTAGGAGAGCCGTGGGAGCTTTAGGTTCCGTAGGATAAAATGATCGAAGGAGGGAAAGGGAATGGGTAGAACGCACACTTCCCAAAGATCTCGCGCGAGACGCCGTCGAATTTATGTTGGAGTTGGTCGAGGAGGTCGTCGACTGCGGCGTTGAGTTCGGATTGGATTTCCGGGGCCGGGGCGGGGGCCGGGGTGGGGGTGCTGGTTGTTGGTGGTGTTTGGGTGGTTGTGGTGGGTTGGGGGGAGAGCTTTGGGGTGTTAGTGTTTGGTATAGTTGGGTTGAGAGGGGAGGGGAGGGGAGGTGGTATTTTATGTGCGCAGAGAGGATAGGGAGGGGGATGGTGATGGTGATGGGCAGGGCAGGGGCAGGGGTAGCGGTAGACGGACCGTGGTAGCTGGGGGTGGGGGAGGTGGAGGCGGAGGAGGAAGGGATTTGGTTTCTTCGGTCATTTTGCTGTACTTTATTCTTCGGTTTGAGGTGGTGGTCTTGTGTTGTGTTGGGTGTCGCTGGATTGGAGGGGCTTTTCAAGTTGGGAGGTTGATAAGTTAGGTATGGAGGGGACGGGGCGGAGGGAATCGCGGCGGCGCGGCGGCGCGGCGATGGGTCGGAAGGTTGCCCGATGGGTGTCCGCTTCCGTGGTGGGCTTGGGCGTGGTGTAGAGTTGAGGGGTAACAGGTTGGTTGGGGGTATTTTCCTTTGTATTGAGCACTGGGATTTGTGCTCTGTGATTGTAGATCGAGAAAGAGATATGAAGGAGAAGTTTTAGACACCGGTTGTTCGTTGATGGAGCTGTAGAGGCAAAGTAAGGCAAGGAAACAAGCAAAGTACCGCAAAGGGTATGGCGTGCCCGTTTGGGATTAGCGGCGGTTTACTTCGTTCTATACTTCCGTCATCATCATCTACTACCGAGTATCAAGGCTGCATTAATCCTCAACCACTACTTCAATTTGTCTCTGTTTGATCATGAGATAAAGAGAAACATATACAGATTATTTAGCCAGGGAGGCAATTGATTGAGCACAAAAACAACGAAGCGACTGAGTCTCCCAGGGCACCTCTACTGAAAACCCCGAGGAAGCGCGTTAACTCACGCCTCCGTCATCTTCCTCGCAAAAACCTCCCTATACTCCTCATCAATCTGCACCAGCACCCCCGGCCCCTCCCGCTCCAACACCTCCGTCTCCAGCACAAAGCTCACAAAGAACGCCGCCGGCTCCGTCGCGCTGGCGTTGGCGCTGATCCGATGATGACACCCAGGCGCCTCGTACCACGACCCGCCCTGCTCGATCGTCCGCATCGGGTCGTCGTTCATCTTGCACAGCACGGCGCCCCTAATCACGTAGGCTGACACGGACGCGCCGCCGTGTCGGTGGGGTGGGGTGGCGCCGTTGGGGGGGTATTCGACCAGCAGGCCAACGATGGTCTTGCCGGGGCAGTTGACTAGTTTGTATTGGTAGACGAGGGTGGTGGTTGCGAGGGGGCGGCTTGTGTTGTTAGTGTAGCTATGAGGGTGTGCATGTGAGGGATGTACCTTGGGTCGTAGGTCGGTTCTTCCATTATGAGGGGTGTATTGTATAGTTCGAGGGGGGATTATTAGGGAAGTTGTATGGGCTTTCCAGTTTACTTGGACTGTTGGTGCGGGGGTGGGATTCCTTTATGCTTGTGGGATTGGATTGGAAAGCGCAAGAGGATTGGAGTCGAGGCTACGATTTGAGAATGCCTTTAATAGCCTGATATAACAGCTTGAGTGTTGATGTGCCCCGGTTACCCAGGGTGAGGGGGTTCGTGTCCGGGTATCCAACGGATAGGCTATTCGGGATACGGGATACGGGATACGGGATACTCCTTCCAGACTGAACGTCTTCCACAGCTGCATTTGTCCTATATAGCTTTTTAATCCTTCATTCAGGGAGGCTATTATTTCTCCGCTTTTCACAGTTCCACTATTCCCATGCCCATGGACCTCCATACACGAAAGCAAGCACATATCTAACTATTAACCCTATTCACTCCATCCTCGCACTCATCAACCACAGCACCACCTCGCAACCCATCACCCCAACCCCAACACCAACAAGAATGCAAGCCATCCGCCTCCACTCCGCTCCCTCCACCAGCCCCAACCCATATTCCCCCACAAATCCAGCCCCGGCCTCCGCCCTCCACCTGGACCGGCAAATCCCCATCCCCAAACCCTCTCGACCGGGCGAGCTCCTCATCCGCGTCCACGCCACAACCATAGTCCGGGACATGCTCACCTGGCCCGAGACCTACCACCACGACTACGCCATCCCCGGCAACGATCTCGCCGGCACCGTCATAGAAGTCTTCGACAGCAGCAGCAGCGCCTTCCACCCCGGCGACGAGGTCCTCGGCATGGCGCACGCCGACCGCGCCGCCACCTGGGCGGAGTATACCGTCGTCAGCGCCGAAGAAATCACGCACAAGCCCGCCGGACTGAGCTGGGAGGCAGCGGCGGGGTTACCGCTGAGTGCGCTGACGGCGTACGAGGCGCTGTTCGTGCATTCCGGCGTGATTGCGCGGCCTTCGATCGAAGATGCTGCACAGAATATCATGGACAAGAAGCGGAGGAAATCATCCAACTTCCACTCAGCCCAGTCCGTCTCACAGGAAGATGAGCTGGATGCTCCACAAATCAGGATCTTGATAACAGGCGCCGCCGGCGCCGTGGGGATTCATCTGGTGCAGCTTGCTTCCGCTGTGAAGGGGTGCCACGTCGTCGCTGCGACGAGCTCGGATGTCCGGAACGGGGAGTTCCTGCGCGGGCTGGGGGCGGATGAGACGGTTGAGTATGCGGATCTGGAGACAGCCACAAAGCAGCGGCAGTTGCAGGCGGGGTTTGATGTCGCGGTTGATGCGGTGGGCGGGGAGGTGTTGGCGCGATGCTGGGGGTGTGTTAGGGAAGGCGGGGTGCTGATTTCGGTGGATTCGGGCAGCTTTGACTTTGTGAAACGGCATAAGGAGCGTGGGATATGGAGGGGGGATGTTCGTGCGCTGTTCTTCGTTGTGGCTGGGGGTGGGGAGGAGTTGCGCTGGCTGGCGGGGTTGGCGGGGGCCGGGGCGTTGGGGTCGATGTTGAATCGGACATATCCGTTTGAGAGGGTGTGGGAGGCTTATGAGTTCGCTAATGGAAGGTATGAGGGGAGGGGGAAGGTGGTACTTGTTCGGTAGGTTGGGTGTTTTTGGGGGGGTGGTTTGGTGCATAGGTGGGCTTGGGTGAGGGCTGGAGATAATGGTCGGTCTGGTGGGGAGCTTATGGGTGTAACTCCTGGGAGATTCTATTCTGACTGCCAACGGTATATGGCAGGATGGCTAGGACGCTATCTATAAGGGGGCCTTGAACATATTAGCGTGGTATTTTAAGCGAGAGATATAGCGAGGTTGTACAGATGCTACGGAGTACTAAAGACTGCCTTATTGTTCTTCCCATTTTTTCGATGATCACTCCAATAGTTGAATGTCTTTCAGGCACACAGAGTGTCTCCTTAGTATGCCATATAGGTAGTTCCTAGGATTATGGAATCACTGAAAATAGACCACCTGAAAGCATACCTATACTAGGTAACTTGTCTCTGATGATCCAAGCAAGTAGTATATCGCACCAGACTAATCGTAGTCTATTGCACCCAAGTCATATCAACCTTTACATAAGATAAGTAGACTTATACTTAGAAACCAAGTGAAACTTCCATATTCTTCTCCAAGGATATATCCGGTAAGACGCTCCTACAAAGTATGAAGCCCAATCAAACTACCAAATCAAGCCTAGTCTGACCAGCGGTAGCCGACTTCTGCCTCAGGCCACAAGGCCTTCAATGAATGGCAGCCTCTCACCGCCCAGACACCTACCCTGTGCTTGCCCCAGGCACCCAAACCGACCGCCCCACCCTCAGCAGCAGGACGCAGCCACTAATCCCAAGACAGTCTAGCCTGCCGTCCAAAAAAATTCCCGCCGCAAAGATTCGAGAAGTCAAAGTCCGACAGGATCTCCTTCACTTTCACCACAACTCCGTGATCTTTTTCTCACTTCTTATCCCTTAAAAGATCCGGAGTCTACAACCGGAAATACACAGAAACCGTCACAATGCCGAAGAGAAGCAAATTGCTCCAAGCTCTGGACGAGCACCGCGGCCGGGACTACGATGCCGAGAAGCAGAAGAAGCTCGTGAGGGCGGCGAACAAGAAGAAGGCGGCCAAGGGGGAGGTGGCTGAGGATAAGAAGGAGGAGGACAAAGCAAAGAAGTCGAAGGTTGAGGAGGGAGACGAGAAGGAGGAGGAGGAGGAGGAGGAAGAGAAAGAATCTGCCGAAGACCAAGAATCCGAGAACGAATCCGCCGCCGAAGAGGAAGAAGAGGAGGAAGACGAAGAAGCCGAAGAATCCGACATCCCGCTGAGCGACCTCGAGGACGACGAGCGTGAAGACGTGGTGCCGCACCAGCGGCTGACCATCAACAACTCGGCGGCCATCACGGCCTCGCTGAAGCGCATCTCCTTCATCTCGGCGCAGACCCCCTTCTCGGAGCACAACTCGCTGGTGTCGAAGGAGGAGATGGAGGTGCCGGACGCCAACGACGACCTCACCCGCGAGCTCGCCTTCTACAAGGTCTGCCAGGCGGCGGCGACGCAGGCGCGCGCCCTGCTCAAGAAGGAGGGCATCCCCTTCACCCGCCCCGGCGACTACTTCGCCGAGATGGTCAAGACGGACGAGCACATGGACAAGATCAAGAAGAAGCTGTACGACGAGGCCGCCGCCAAGAAGGCCGCCGCCGAGGCCCGCAAGCAGCGCGACCTGAAGAAGTTCGGCAAGCAGGTCCAGGTTGCCAAGCTGCAGCAGCGCGCTAAGGAGAAGCGCGAGACCTTGGAGAAGATCAATGATCTGAAGAAGAGTATGCCCCC